TCCTCATAAACCAACGAGAGCATCACTGTCGTAGCTTTATGCTGATGAAATTCCTCGAGTTATTTTTTCATCATCGTCGTCGCGTCGCCATCAACTGTAATAGAAGTTTGAAATTGCATGGAATCTTTTTCGTGTATTCTCATACCACGCGGCTTTGTAACGACTATAGATCGATTTTCCTGCTGAATATCCACGCCTCGTAACAACGATGTGTAACATTTTTACCTATGTGCGCAAATTATCAAAAAATTGCTGCATTCGCGAGTTCAACTAACGTTTGACAGCATAAATGAATTTTAAATAAATTTATGGGACTGATGCGGGTAAAAGAAATATCTTTTAACCAATGCATTCTCGATTGATTGACATATCACTGGAAAAACGAATATCATATTTCATCCACAGAATTCGTGCATGAACGAACGAAAAATCAATACTATAGAGGGTGAAAACGGAGCGTTCCCGTAAAAAATAACGACTGGACTTCACAGACAAGTTCTTTGACCTTCAGTGGCGGTAAATGGTGGTATAACAATGGTAAAATAAACTAAAAATTTAATACGTGTCTCTGGACGATATAATTTATACCGTACACGCGCATCAGCAACGCAAAGTAACCCGCAGAAGGGAAAGAGAAAAAGAAGGCGAGAGCGAAAGTGAGAGTCACGAATGCCTCCAGAGAGAATGCCTTCCTCTCTTCTCTCTCGCGCCCAGTTTTCACAAGAGAGAAAGAGAGAGAAAGAGAGAGAATTCGACAAATTGCTCAAGATTACCGCGGCCGAAGTCCTTGCATGATGCGCGCCCGCTGCAAAATCAACGTCGATCAATCGATTAACAATTGTCTCTCTCTCTCTCGCTCGGCGAGATATTTACACGCGGACAGGAAATTTTCCCATCGAATCGCGACGCGGCGATGATTTGCGAGGAATTAATTTGCACGACATGTCCGCGAGGTCGGCGCAGAGTTTAGAAAAGATGAACGTCTATAGTGTTTATACAGATGTTGTTTATCGACGTTGTTAAGCATCGCACACAGGCGTATTAGCCTATTGCAGCGAGACGATGATCGGAGCTAAGGCAAGGATTTATCGAGCGGAAAAGCTCTTTGTGGTGGTTGCAGCAGCTTTTATAGCGAGCATAATATTGGCTTTATATGCGCGGGGTAATAATAAATTGTTTTTTTGGTCAATTAGCGATAATCGATCGCACGTATGATACGTCTAAATCTTGTTTCAAGCTTTTCCGTCTTTAGGTATACAGCCAGATCGCGAGAAAAAAATCTATTCTGAGCGCGCCGAGCGCTGTGCACTTTCTCGCAATATATAATCGGAGGCTCCATCTCTCGCACGGAGTCGAGCAAAAAAAAAAAAACGTTTGACGAGGGCGTTTCCGAGTTTGCGCGAACTGAGTTTGCGCCCAGGTCCGTGCCATTGATAAGACAACATTATAATGTGTAGCTTCTCGCGAGTAGCTGCTGCTTGTAAGAGAGCAGCAGCACAACGTGGAACGCGTCAAATGAGAATGACTTATGAACGAGAGTCAGCGTCGGCAGCAACTCCCCGAGCCATCATTACCGCGACGATCGACAATAAATCTCTCTCATGAGTTTGCTCACGATCGGTTTCACATTTTTCGTGTCTGTGTGTGTGCACGCGCGATGCATAATGGGCGAGCGCAAGCTTTGTACGTGTGAAGCAACCGATTCGAAAAGTGCGAAGGAATAACGGGGGTTTCGTAATAATAATGCGCCACATGAAATCGAGCGCACTGCGCACGCGAGGCGCCCGAGAGAGAGAAAGAGTAATAAGAGACATGTAATAAAAAGAAAAGAAAAAAGGGTAAATAGTATAGTGACGTCTCTTGGAGGCATTTCACGGGGGAATCTTTGAATTTCACAGTCCTTTGAACGTCGAAAATGTGGGATGCGTCGCGCGACGCAGTGCGTTGAAAACTTCTGAAGAGAATGAAGTGCAATATAGATTTCATATAGAAGCCATCCGGAAGCACTGCCTCACTCAACGAAAAAATAAGGAAAAAAGAAATTATAAAAAGGAAAAGCCTTTGAAGGTCTCGAGCGCGGAATAGAAAAATCGTGATATTCATCGTGAGCGCGTAAAATTGTTGTACTATTTTTTTTTTTCTTCAACCAGTTCCCGTGGAAGTGAATTATACTGCGAGCGAGTTTCCATTTACGTGTAGTATATGCCATGTGACCCTCACTTTCATGCGTGCGGAGGTCGGGTCGATACATGCAGTCCGCAGGCCAAATTTCGTAGTCGTGCAGTGCGCGATTACGGTCTATACTATGGCCGATAAATAACGTCACCGTTGATATGCTCGAAATTTATCCAAAAAAAAAATCAACATGAATATAGATAGCAGCAGCAGGAGCAGACGCTGCGAAGAGGACGAGCCAGTTTAAGAGAGGGAGAGTTCGAGACTCTAGATGCAAAAGAATAATAAATTACCGATGATATTGTGAATCGAATGTGCCTATTGTTCCAATAAGCGATACAAAGTCACCCGTGCGTGTGTGTATAAGCTGCGAATACAATAACGAGAGTTGTGAGCTAAATTAATGACCAGCTTCGGCAAAGGATGTGGAATGTCATAGGCTCTCTCAAAGATGTATAAGATGTGTGTGTATGTGTGTATAATTATCGACGTGTTCGAGGTTGATTTTGCGGAGGATATTCGCTTTCCATTCTCGCGGCGTCCGATTCTCAATGGTACACTACTACTCGCGAGTTTCTTGTCTCCCGGCCACGTATACGGTATTGTTTCTACTCCTTTCTTAGCCCGCACGGCGCTGCCTACAGCATATAGACATACACAAGCTTCCACCAGCTTACAGCCAAACGTCCATTGATAAGAAAGTAAAACAAACTCTGGAAATTTTTTCGAGCTGTAAAAATTCGTCGCGAACATCTTCTTGAGTTTACACTGGAATCTCGATTTATGCTATTTAATATAGAGAAAGAGACAGAGGGAGATACATATGACAAGTACAATTTTAATATGTACCGCTAGACAATAATGAGAGCCTAAGTACGCTCGCGCGATCATCAATAATCCGTCGAAAAACAAATAGCTATCAGTCGTCGTCGTCGTCGTCGTCGTCGCCACGGTGTAGAGTACGCGCTCGCCTACGATTATTATTTACTTATAAATGTGCGTGCCGGAGTGTGTGCACATGCGAGCGCGCGTATTATGTATACAGGCGCGCGTATATATGCGCCCGAGCTCGCTCGCGTTGTCAAACTGCATTCTTGCCGGTCCGCGTCATTTAATAACGCACGCATGGCAATGATATTCTCCTTTCGAACGGTACGCACGCGTGCAGCGGCGGTGGAAAAATTAACGTTCGTAATAATATCTCGAAAAGAGCCAAGAGAGTCATTATCGCGCTTGTTTCGTTCGCACGGGAGCTTTTTTAACGACTCCGGTGCAACGCCGTCGTGCTCCTGCATTACTTGTTATACGAGAGATGCGACAATTGATTTCAATTTCTTGCGAATTTCAAGGAGATCGTAATGAAAGTTAAAAAGAGTGCTCAAAGTCTGTGTCGCGCATTATGCACCGAGGGTCATTGAGCCTTTGGCATTGCCCCGCGTTTCGCTGCTATAATATATAGTCCAAATCGATCGAGTTGGTCGATACGATTAGCACGACCTATACGTACTTTTCTCATGCACACCTTCTTTTGCCGAGTCTCTGGCATTCGTTGACTTATACTACCTGAAATATTTAATTACCCGCGCATTACAACAATGTGCAGTTCGTACGATACATACATACAACACATACGTCAAGTATCTAAAAAGATAAGCCGATCTCGTCGTTTTTCAATTACCAGCAACGGACCGTACCGTATACGAGATGTAGTATATACCTCTCGACGAGTCAATATAATTAATTACGAAAATCAATCGTACAGAGCGAGAAGGAAGCAAAAAAAAAATTAGCCGTATAGATCAACATTCGAAAGCACACGAAGAGATGATGAAGTTACGAGTTTTCTCTTCCCTCATACACACTCATACATGTATTTGATACAGCATCTCCGCGATCTACACAGCTGCGCGAAACACAGCTTTGCCAAAGTCTCTCTCTCTCTTTCTCTGGAACGTTGTTAGAAACGGCAGCTAGTGTATTGTATATATACGTGTCTATGTGTATGTGTGTACACAGAGCCAGAGTATGTAACTAAGCAAAGTGCAAGTTCGCGACTCCGAAGTCTAACCTCGCGGATCTACAAGAGAGCCGTGTACGCTACACACACACACACACACACAGGAACCGTATCATAATAATATAAAGCCTTGGATCATGCTGTATATTTACAAGAGCCACTAAGTCAAAGAGACCACCGGCGCATGCGGAGAGTGCAACAACAACAGCTGACTTGCTAATTTCTTCTCCTTAGCTTTATTGCACAAATACACATCGTGTAGTGCGCCGTAGATTGTTTTCCAATCGCCGGTGTTGTTCGCGGATGAGCTTGCATATACACACGTACATAAAGTTAATAAAAATTGACTGATAAATAGTTCGGAAGATGACCCTGTTACAGCGTGGATTACGAAAGTCTGTGCGAGCGGCTCGGACTCGCACGCGATTTTATTTACTGCCCGATATACATACAACGAGCTTCGTGCGCTTATCTGGTCGGGGCAATAAATTCGAAAGATAATGGATAGGCATGAGGTGAAAGTTACCCGATTATATCGGCGCCTATCGTTGAGCAGCGCATTTAGTTCTATTTTTGCGAATTTTTTTTTTTTCGTCTAGGTGTTAATGGAAATTATCGACGTAGCAAGACGGCCGACGATAAACTATTTCGTAATACCGGTGGAAAATTTTAGAGGCGAGCAAAAAAATGCTGTAATGCGCCGTTTATATACATACGAGTGTAATTGAACGAATCGATGCGAATTAACGCGACTAAATTTACGCGCGAGCAGCGCCGATTTTGCTTTTCTAAAGGCCAGCCACGAGGCTTACATCGCATTTACCCACCACCGTAGTAAAGTAATAGAGAATTTCAAACTCACCACGGTAGTCGGCGGTATAATGGTGGGTGTGGCAGGTCCAGAATTATCTTCGCTTTTCTCCTCTTCCTGCTCGGCAATGAGCGTGTCGCTCGAGTCGCACTTGTTTAACTCGCCGTCAGCCTCAGCCTCGGCAGCCTCGGATTCAGCCTTAGCAACCACTGCCACCACTTCTTCGTCGCTCTCAATCCCCAGCAGCAGCAACGGCTTCGATGTCGTATCATCGGCCTTCTCGACGTTACGATTAATTTCGACGTTATCGGCGAGATTATTCGACGAGGAGTAATCTTCTACTACCTTCTCGTCGTCATCGTCCAGCAGCGAGCTTTTGCTCTCGCTGCGAAGTTTGCAAAGTTCGAAGATGTCCTCGGCTTTGATTTCATCTCCCAAGTCGGCCCTGGGCGGTGGTTCGGGCGACTCGCTGGTGCTACCGCTGCTCGCTTCTTTAACTAAGCTGGGATCTGTCTCCACGGGAGCAGCGGGAGGAGGTGGTGCTTCCACCGAATCTTTTTTATCGTCTACATACCAAGCTGAACTACCCGACTGCTGCTGCTGGTCGGATTTTTTACGCTCGCAGGAATGCGAGTCGTCGCCTTTGGTCAGTGCACCCTTGCAACGCCTCAAATAGTTCTTCACTCTCTTGCTCTTGCTCTTGCGAGTCTCGTGATTTCGACCAGACAAATGTTCGTCTGGCGTCGACGACTCGACTTTCGGCGGCGATGGCTGATCCTCGACGACGTTGGCTTTAATGGAGTCGAGCGTCGTCGTGTCGTTCGTCGACTTTTCCGGCTCCGAGTTCGTCCAAGTTTCGCTCTCTTTATCGGTAATGGCACGACGATCGGCTGGAATTACCTGAAACACAATGAAAAAATAATGAATGAAAATATGCTCAAATATAAAAAAAAAAACAATTGTATAATCAATGCACTATGCGGCTGTTATGTACAAATTGTTCATTTTGTCGTCATTTGTTACAAGTTCGGCACGCGAGACCGACTTCAGCGAATCGATCAGAGATTAGCCGCGCACTGCGCACTACACCCATCGAAGCGGAAAAGAGCTTTAAACTTTTTTTTTATTCGTGCGCGAACTTGGACAAATCTGCTGCTATGGGGCTTATGGGATCGAGACGAGGGCATGTAATGGCTGCTAGTTCGATTAGAAATTTGACACGTTGCGATTCACATGCCTTGCACGTATACATATATAGATACGGGCGAATAGCAGCGCTAACATAGTGAGCTATAAGTCGTACATACACAAGCGGGGGTCAAGAAACGCGAGCTCTGGCGCATACACATATCGTTGTGTGTACGTCTTTACCGTTTTGCTTCTCTCGCGCTCAGCCAAGAGTGAAACATCAGTCTCTCTCTCTCTCTCTCTCGCTCTCTTGGTTTTATAAAAGCGCGCGGATTGCCTATATTATGTACTGGCTGCAACATGGTATATAATGTGCTGTACTCGCGGCGCGCGGCCATCGTTTATACAGTATGCCGGAAATGGAACTACTCGCGAGACGCCGCGAGACAGCGCCTTGCAAGAGAGAGAGGATTAGGGTGGTTTCTCTGCGACGAGTAGGCTATATATGTGCTCACTTGTGTATACACATTGTGTGTGTGTATGTGTATGTGAGCTATATATGTGAGCGTGGCAACGAGACAAGCTTTTCGCACAGTCGAGTTCGAGAGAGAGAGAGAAAACTTTTCATACAGATCGTACTTCTCGTCTTATTACTCCCTTGTAGTCTCTTCCTTTGCTCTGTGCGCGCGCGTGTGTGTGTGTGAGTAAGTGTGTATCTCGAGGCAAATACAACGAAACAACGGTATAATTTGTACGTAGACAAACGTTATGTATGTGTATTCTTAAGGTATCACGATCTCTGGAATGAAGTTGTATAAGTAAGCTGCAAGCGCGAGGAACCTCGCAAAAGTTTCACGAGTAATATATGTATAACTTTTCAATGCGTTACAATTTGACAAGACTCAAGAATCAGCATGGCGGTAAAATTTTACAATGTTTGACTCGATGAAATCTTGCTTTATACGCAGACGCGAACGTCAAGCGAATTATCAAATTAATCAATTTCTTACGCGCCGCAACGAGGCAGAAAAAAGCTCCTCGCGCGCGTGATGTACGATCGCGCCGAGATTAATTTAATTTTAGCCACTGGGGAGAGAGTAATGCAGTGCCGGTGGCAGTTGATACGCGTGGGATCGAAGATCAAACGCAGACTTTGTAATGTACGTTACATTATCGCATAATACATCGTTTGTGTGTACATAAACATTTGACTAATAATTTCAATTTCGCGTTTTACTGTTAACTAAAGCTTACTTTCAAGTTCAGAATTTATTCAATATTTGAAAGTTAATTAATCGTGTTTAGGTTGTATAACTTATTTTATATTATTTTACCTAATAATTTTTTCAAGCCTTTTTAAAACATACATTTATTTCCATTCATTCAACATATTTAATAAAGTTCTTGTTTTATTTCGATTAATACTACGATGATTGATCTACATTCTGATTTTACAAAAGGACAAACACATTGTTTGAAAACCGTATCTGCTTTGAAAATTGAGCAAAAATTTAAATTAAAAAATACCAACTCATATTTCAATAAAAAAATGGAACGAGGAAAATACGCGTTCACATGACGCGAACACGAGAGTCAATCGCATACTCTCGTTTTTATTTGCATCGACAGAAACTCTATTAAAACTTCATTTGAAAAACTCACGCGTATACCATATAAGATCGATATACACCAAGGGGACACGAAGTAAAGTTCGAATGAAAATACATGCCGCGTACCGGAGCGCGCCTATATATATTATTCGACGGTAAATTCGACTCGCGCCTTTTGCATATTTTAGCGAGAACACAAAAGCCCTCCGAAGAGTCCTCGAATTGCTCGAGAGAGTTTTTTTCAGGTTTCACTTTTGAAGCGCTCGCGACTCTTTTTTTTACTCTCTTGGCTTCTATTGCTGTATAGTGTGTAAACGCGTTTGAGGGGTCTGGTCATGCAGGAGAGATGATAGATCAAGTTTTGAAGCTTCGACTTATATAATTAATTTGACTTTGTGTCACTTGTAGATTTACAAAACGAAGGTACTTGCAATCTAGTGGCGGAGACTGGCCTTCATTATGACTGAATTTTCATCGACGCAAAAAGTCAGTATTAAAACATTAATTTTCAATCAAAATGTATGAAATTATCATTTCTTTAATGTTTTTCCTCTTGTTTTTGTTTGCACCACTAGATGGCGAGTACCTTCATCCTTATCTATTATTAATTCTTTATTGTTTTTGCTCTTTTTTTGTTTTTGTCTCCACTACTAGATGGCGAGTACCTTCACCGGTAAATCTGCAAGTGACAAAGTCAAAATACAGTGATATATAAGTCAGATGTGTGTTATGCCATAACACTGCAATATGTATCACTATCCATTTGTTTCACATTTTTATGCTAAAAAAATTAATTAGTACTTATGAATTCTATTCCAACGAAGGTTTCATCTAAAATTACCTTAAATAAAATTCAATATAGTTCACTTTAATTTTGATGTCTGATTTTACGTTAAATCTGCATTAAGTATATGTGAAAACTCTTCTCGAAAACCTTATCATCCTATGGCGCTATGTTTCTACACGCCAAGGTTAGATGGATAATACTCATTCCTCTCATAATTGCACGCGCTGCTGTGTCTCGAAGCCAGATGAAATTAAATTTTCATAAAGACCGAAAAGCCCGAGACTCCGAAACTTATACAACCATGTCGAAGCCTACATTATGCAGAGGTTATACATTTGAGGGTATTACTGCTACTAGAAAAATTTTTGCATCGCTCGACGCTCGAAGTTAATTGAGAGATCAATCATGCAGGAGCTTTTAAAGAAATTGAAAAGTTTATACGAGATTTTTGCAAGTAAATAAGTTGTCGTCGATCGTCAACCGAGTTACAAGCGAAATTCGTTACAAGTTTCCTCTGCGTCTCGAATGTGGATCGTTACATTATGCGTAACCTTCAATTTTTTACGGATACGCGCGCAACTAATCCACACGAAGAACACACAATGTGTACATAAAGACGAGCTCGTGCGTTATGTGCATTGACTTATGCACAGGCAAGCGTCTATCGTAAATAGAGCGATGCAAAGCCCATAAAGAGTCGATACCGTTCGAGCATTAATCAGCGTGCAAAGTCTTCGTTCGCATGTACCATAAGTTTATATCGAAGTGCACAGGCGAGAAAGAGAGAGAGCGAGAGAAAAAGAGGCGCGATTTATACCGTGTATACGCGGGTGGCTCTCTACCGCTGACGTAACCGTGTGTCTCTACCGAGTCTCGGCGTGCAGCAGCGGCGCAAGTAGGTACATTCTATATAATATATAATCGACGAGGACGTGTATGGCGCGGCGAGCCTTTATCAGGCGCAAACGATCAAAGCTGCACATACGTACACACATGCATATGGTCTCTCTGCATCTGCAACAGATGAAGATAAGTCCGTTGGGCTCGCTCGCGTACGTGTCGAGAGAGAACTGCAACGTTGCATACGGCTGTTGCACGAAGGAAGGCGTTACTCGCGCCGGCTCTCGTTGGCTTGTTCTATTTATTAATAAGCACTCGGCGATGCGGTGGCGCGGCGAGGAAAAAAACGACTGTCAAGTCTCGAATACGCGGGTACGCTACGTACGGGATATTTTCGAAAATTCAAACGGAATCGTTCCAAGCTCGGAAGTCGATTCCAATGATGCGCGACCCTTATAAGCGCGAGAGTGTTTGCTGGAAATCATTTGCGCGCGATTTAGTATAAAATTACAGGAACTCGCGGGCAGTGTTGATAATTCACGCGCACTTTATCCGTTGTTATAATTTTCAGGCAATACAGAGTTCTCGGGAAATAATCTTGACGCGAGAGCGAGTGAACGTATATATTTCTCTGCCGTAGGTTGAACTTTGCAAGCTTGTTTATTTACATTCGGAAATAGCCTCGCGACTTTGGCTCGTACACGCTCCGTACAAGTTCATTTTACAAACGATTGAACGAATTCGTTTCACCCTCGATTTTCCAGAAGCAAAATCAATACAAATACTTTGTTTGCCCGCGAAACGCGCAGAGTCCATTTCATTACCGGTCGATCGAGCTTTAATAAAGCTTTCAAGTTCTCTCTCTGCGTACATACGTACGTGAATGACTAACTCCGCATTCAAGAATTTCAACGTTTCACTTTTTGCATAATGAGCTTCTATCCAGACTAGTCAAGGGGTTATTTCCCTTATACCATATATGTGCTGTATACGTATATGCATAAACATGTACGAATATACAAAAAGGACTCAGTCACGCACGCCCCTTGTGTATACACCATAATACAGTAGCTAATAAAGCTCGCAGGGCTCGCTACTCTTCGTATGTACACAAATTCATGCGTACTTATGTACGTGGGTGGTTAGATTACTTATAAAATTAATTTTACATTTTAAAGAATGAGAGTAGGAAAAATTTTACGCCGACATGATAGACGAAAAAAGCTCAACTCTCGCTTCAACAAGATGTATCATGATACCCATAAGACACATTCGACTTATATAATTGTATTTTGACTTTATCACTTGCAGACTTACAGATTACGGTACTCGCCATCTAGCGGTGGAGAGTTAAAATAGTATTATCGTATTTGAAGTAGTTAAAAACTAGTTTGCATTTTTTTAAATAAATAAATGGTCGTTTTAAAGTCATTTAAAATGCGTTTTATATTTTTAACATAATCATATCAGAAAAATCTCAAAAAAGAGTCAATAAAAATTTCAAATGGTTATTTTTTCGGCATTTGATAGTTATA